GTCCATATATATATATATATATATATATATGGACCTGACTGTAAGTGTGGCAATGCTGTAAAAATAGGGAAGTGGCTGTGACAGGTGTCTTCTCTGTGCACTTTAGCATGACATTTTCTTCTTCTTGCTTTTTAATTAAGGACACCATATAAAAGGAGTCATGCTGTGTTGTGTGTCACACACATTCCTGATGGAGGTGTAAGTGCCTGTCTGGACAGAAATCCTCCTGTCTGTCTGACTGCATGAGGCTGAAACGCACTGAATGTGACGAGAGTGTTTACAGACGACAGCTGCTGCTGCTAATGCATGCTGCTCTTCATATGGACAAAACTCTGACAGCATTTACTCTCCAGCACGCCGTTTCAAACCTATATGGTTTTTCTTCAACACAAAAGAAGTAATACAGTGAGCAATGGATGTCAAGATCTGAATCTGTCCATTAATGCATCTGTGAAATCTCATATCTGCGCATGCTCAGACTTGCTGTGTGAAGTCTGACATCAGTGATGCAAGAGTCTCTCGCCTTTCACTAAACAACTGCTTAGTGATAAGTTAGATATTCAGAGCTACGGTGAAAGGATTTAAAGACTTAAACTATGCTACTGTTCAAAAAGTTTGGGGTCAGTAGAATTTTTTTAAAGAAATAAATAATTTCCCACTGCATTCCCACTTCATTCAGTATATTGGATGAGCTTTGTGCTTGGCCAGAAAAATTATAGACATAAATGGTGATTATACAAAGCGCAATCTGAATAGATAGACAGACAGACAGACAGACAGACAGACGGACAGACAGACGGACAGACGGACGGACGGACGGATGGATGGATGGATGGTTGGATAGATAGACAGAACGATAGATAGAACGATAGATAGATAGAACGATAGAACGATAGACAGATGGATGGATAGATAGATAGATAGATAGATAGGCATGAACTGATAGAACGATAGAATGAATGGCAGAATGATAGAGAGAACGATAGAGAGATAGAAAGAAAGAGAGAAAGAAAGAAAGAAAGAGAGAGAGAGAGAAAGAGAGAGAGAAAGAAAGAAAGAAAGAAAGATAGATAGATAGATGGATAGATGGATAGATGGATAGATAGATAGATAGATAGATGGATGGATAGATGGATGGATAGATAGATAGAACGATGGAAGGATGGATAGGTAGGTAGGTAGACTCACTCTTGAGGTTGGATGCGGGCTGGCTGAGGCTGATGCGGGGCGGTAGGGTGCAGTGGTAGGGTGGAGTGCTGCTGAACAGGATGTCGTTGGGCAGGGCTTGATCCAGCATTGAGCTCCGTGAGCTGGCATAGGACGAGCCCTTCCTGTTACTGCACACGCTCTCGTCCGAGAGAGTCCGATACAGCGACCGCCGCGGGGACAGGCTGCCTGCCGCAGACGCCTGACAGGAAACACACAACGTCAATCACAGATAATGGACTTAACACCAGAAAATCTACATTTTAATTGATTTGATTGCTAATCAAACACATAGACATAAATGTGCAATCAAAGTCCCAGAATAATCCCAGTGCTTTCCTATCTTTCCCAGCAGGACGAGGTTAGTAGGTTTGTTTTGGACTGAATGAATGAAAATCCTCACTGTCTTGTGTCGTTAAACAGCAGGATGTTATAAATAAAGCCTGCTCTTTATCTGCACTGCTGAGGAACAGAGAGAGCGTGTTGCTGTTCTTCCGCTTGTGATAAAATAAATTGTAATTGTTTATTACAATACAAATAAAACTTTTCACATGAAGCACACTCACAATTGATTTGAATGGCCTTAGCATGTTACTAAACAAACATGATATTCTAAAAGCATTAAAATATATAACACAAAAAAGTTAAAAAAAAAAAAAATCTATTATTTTTGTAAAACAATATACACTACGGTTCAAAAGTTTGCAGTCTATGTTTTTTAAAGAAATAAATGTTTATTTAGCAAATATACATTAAATTGATCAAAAGTTACAGTAAAGGCATTTATAATGTTATTAAAGATTCCTATTTCAAATAAATGCTGTTGAACTTTATTCATCGAAGAATCTTGAAAAATAAAATGCATCACAGTTTCCACATAAATATGAAGCAGCACAACTGTTTTTTAAAATTGATAATCAGAAATGTTTCTTGAGCAGATTAGAATGATTTCTGAAGGATCATGTGACACTGAAGACTGGAGAAATTATGCTGAAAATTCAGCTTTGATCATAGCAATAAATTGCAATTGAACATATATTCACATACAAAACAATTTATTTTAAATTGAAATAATATTTCACAATTTTACTGTATTTTTTAACAAATAAACACACCCTTGGTGAGCATAAGAGACTTGTTTTAAAACATTTAAAAATCTTAATTACACACTGCCTGAAGTTGGCGCATAGATAAGGAGCTCACTAGGTTTTGGACAGACTTATAGTCTCACATATCAAAAATATCTCTCAAAGGGCATGAGGACAAAGTTAAACACATACCCATACCCATGAGCTAAATTGTGCCAAAGCTGTTTAGATACATTGTATATGTTTTCCATTCAGAGCTTGAGCCAGAGGAAGCTGGTTCATTCCCAGCCGGAGGTGCTTGATCCTGTTAATTTTATTTATAGCACACAATACGTCTTCCACTATTTGAAACTTGATCAAAAACGTCAGTTTGCTGAATTGGCATCACTGCAGGGAAAGTAGACGGATTCAGCAGAGCTAAACGCCTCCGGGCTCAAAGCCGCCCTCTGTTTTCACTTCCTTTAGACCAGGATCCCACTCAAATCCCATCGCTCAACCATGAACCAGCCTCAATGTGCTCTCTCTCTCTGGCCTCTTGCACACACACAACTTTATAAGTTATAAGTATCTGGTCTGGCCATAAAAATAAAACGAGAGCAGGCTTTAGTACGGCTCATGTGTAACGTCACTGCAAATAACTCACTGTTGTAACTCATCTGGAAAAAAGGGAGGCAAATGGTGTTACCAGAATACATTACCAGTCAAAAATTTGGATTTTTGTTTAAATGCTTTTGATATTCTGGTAAATTATCTGATATCCGGGTCTCTGGTTTCTTGGGTTCCTCATTTAATGATTTAAAAAAAAAAAAAATAATAATAATTTTTTTGTTGATATTATTATTATTGCAAGATTAAAAATAGTCCTGCAATGTGATAAATGTATTTTTAAAAGTGCAAATATTCCTCTCAATTAATATAAATAATTATAAACAAGTATACATATTTATATAAATATTATACAAATTTTAATATTGATAAATAAAAAATCCTAATAATTATATCCTAAAATGAACAATTACAAAAAGTATTTTAAAAATAAAAACAATTAAAATAAAATAAAAGATTCAATATTTTATTTATTTATCTGCATGTTGTGTGGTCATTAATGAACCAGTGTGTTACGTATCCGGTCCATGAACTTCCGTCTGCTAGCCATCAGAGGTTGGTGTATCTGGGCCGCGTACTCCACCGCCGATTTGCTAGAGGCGGTGGCACCGGCTACAACATCTCCCGAGGTGGCGGCTTACACTGCAGAACCTCCCGAGGTAGCAGGGTCCGCTGCTGTGCTCCCAGAGGCCATGGTATCCTCTGCAGTCTCTTCAGAGGTGGCAGCGCATGCTGCAGAATCTCCCGAAACGGCAGTGCTCGCTTCAGCTCCTTGCGTGGTGGTGGCGCCCAGCAACGCACTTTCAGCCTGTCCTGTTCCGGCCAAGGAGGCCGCCTATGAACTCTCTGCCAGTTCTGTTCCGGCCAAGGAACCTGTCTATGAACTCCCTGCTTGTCCTGTCACGGCTATGGAGGCCGTCGGTGAACTCTCTGCCTGTCCTGTCACGGCTAAGGAGGCCGTCTGTGAATCCTCTTCGTTGACCTTCGCTAGCCCTAGGATTATTCTTGTGTCTTGCCCGCCATATACCTGTTCGCCATTGTTCGACCCTGCCTGTGTTTCTGACCTCTCTGCTTTAATAAAGCTTGCACATGGATCCGCATGTCTCACGTCTTGTCAGCCCCATAACACAGTGTTATTTTAGTATTATTTATATACTATTATAGATTTAGTTATAGCTTTTATTTTTATATTTCAGGTTTCCATCTTATGTTTCTTAATTCATTTTTTTTTTATTACTATTTAGGATTTATTTATTTCCATTTCAGTTTTAGTTTATTTCAATTACATACCAGTTGGTAATTCTAGTCCTTCAAACTAAACTTATTTCAGCTGCCAAGTCAACATTTTTCCATCGAATATTTATATTTTATTTTAGATTATTTCAATTAACAAAAATGTTTTCAATCGTTTTCTTTTAGTTAACAATAGTAACCCTGCTGTGAACACTTAAAATTACAATTTAAAATATATATTATTCAAATAGAAACAGTTATTTTAAAATTGTAACAATATTTCCGAATATTAACTGTAATTCTGTTAAAAAATGCAGTCTTGGTGAGCAGAAGAGACTTCTTTCAAAAACAATAAAAAAATCCTAATTATAAACTTTTTAAAACTTTTGACTGTTAATGTATATATTAGTGAGACCCTCTTTAACCAGAGAAAAACACTTCAGAGTTGCACAATCAACAAGAACAACAGAATAAAGATCCTAAATAGTGAGGGACTTTTTTCACTAGTTTCATCATCTGAATCACCTCTCCCAGTTCAAATAAAACCATAGGACCGAATCATGAAAGTATTGAAAATATGAATCTGTTCAGACCAGACTCAGACCGCTGTCATGTTGCCATTTCCTCTGAAAAAACCGAGCCGCCACCTTCCCTGTATCCGTGATCTGCTCCTCTACAGCGGGTTTACCGCTCACTTCTCCTGCTCTCAGGCTGGAATTTCCACTGAGAAAGAAAAGCCAGATTGACAGTGTTTTCTATTACGGCTCGCGCTCCACGATGGCTGGTCTGTCTCTGAGGGGCTGTGTGGCCTTTAAAGCAAGAAACCTCCGCTGGTGCGTCTGACAAAATCTGTGATGGACCAGAGACAGTTGCTTTTCTATGTGCAAAATAAACAAACTAATGTTATATTACATAATGAAACATTCTAATATGTTCTAACATATAAAACATGTTTAAAAATGTATATATATTTTTTTGTAGAGAAATGTTATTGAATGGTGTATAGCAATGCAGTTGAATCCCTTTGACCTAAAATATTTACTTGAAGAATAATATTAAGTTAATATTTAACAACACAATTGCATGTTCACGGCAGGATTTTTATCTTTAACTAAAACGAAATTTATTATAATTTAAATAAAAATTAATAAAAATGAAATAAAATATAAAAATAAGCAGAAAAATTTCAACTAAGCAATAATTAGAAATGTTGACTTGGCAGCTAACTGAAATAATTTTAATTTTTTATTTAAACTGGAAATAAATTTTAAACTAAAATAAAAATAAATGAAACCTAAATAACAATTATAAAATATAAACTAATAGAATTAGTAAAAACACACAACAAAATCATAAAATTTAAATATAAAAATAAAAGCTAATTTAAAATATTAATTTTGTAAAAAAAATATATATATATATTTTTTTTAATATTTTTAAATAAAAATATAATGGTATATTAAAAATACTAAAATATCAGTTAACAATCACACAGCATGCAGGTAAACAAAATATTTCATCTTTTTTTACTAAGCATTTTATTTTAAATTTTTTCAAATTAATTATTGTAATTGCACATTTTTAGAATTTGATTAATTATTATTAATTAAAATAAAACAATATTCATGTATAATATTTATATTAACATTTATATACTACATTATGTATGTAGTTATGACAACTATTAATTCAGAGGCTACATGGAATATATTTGTATTTTTAAAAATGAATTTATCATATTGCAGGACAAATAAAAACAATAAAAAAGCATTAAATGAGAGACCAGATTTTTGAATATCAGAGACTTTCAGGGGGCCAGTAAGAAATCACCTTGGCAACCGCATAGCAACACCCTAGCAACTGCCTGCAAAAAGAGAGATTTTAGAGAAGTGCAGATGCTCAGACAGTAAGCACAGATGGTGGTCAGCGCCCGAGGTGTAAGGTTTACGATATCATGCTGTCAGCTCTGCTGGACGGTACGGTCTGAAGCGCCTCACCTCCCCCTGAGAGCACAATGACCCGTCTGCCTCTGAGGGCACGGCAATGCCACACAGACCGCTAAAAATAGGGCATTGTGCATCTACTCCGGCCCTTCCCGGCAGATAACGGGCGGTGGGAGAGATGCGGGAACTCCAAACGCAATTAAGACGGTCTCCAGGAGCAGAGGAGACTTCAGAGAATCAACAACGTCCTCCCGTTAATCCACAACATGAAGAGAAAGCAGACGCAGCGAGAGATCAGCCAAACAGAATCTGTCCGGACCCAGACGCGTGTTATCGTGTCTCTGGCTGATAACACACACGTCTGTTCAGCCCTCGTTCATGTCACACGCAGAGGTTATCAGCACTACAGAGTGAGTGTGTGACTGAGACCACATTCACAGACTGATCTCAGCTAATGGAAAAGCATTGTTTAACAACAGAAAGTGCATGTACAATTAATACCACAGCGCTGAATATTTACTAGATTCATATACTATAGTTTTTACATGATACTACCAAGACAACCATGGTACTTTGATGGTACATGTCCAAAAATTACAAGAAAAACCATTATTACTACGAAACGTCAATATGTCAATGTGGTATTACCATTGGAAGTATTTTTTTAAAACAGTCAAATTAAAGTATTACTTTAAAACCATGGTATTAAACAAAAAAATTGCTATGGTACTATTACTATGTCAAAAAATGTACTAACATTATTTTAGGATGCTATGCATTAAAAACATGGTATTACTATAGTAAATGTCTAAAAAAACACAGTATACCACAGTGAACCATGACAAAAAAACATGGTATTACTACGGTAAATAAAAAAAAAACATGGCATTTTAAAAACAGTACTGTCAAGGTACATATCTAAAACACCATGGTATTACTATTATACTCGCCTAAAAACATAGTTTTAGCATCGGACATCTTCAAAAACACGGTATTACCATGATACACACTGCAAATAATTGTTAAAAAATATTACTATGGTAAATGTCTAAAATGATGCTGTACTTTAAAAAACATGGTATTACTATGGTAGATGTTAAAAAAAACTGTATAAAAAGTATTACCTTTGAACTATGGTATTAAAGTAAAAACTAAATTTAAGAATTACTATGATATGACAAACATGTTATTACCACGCTAAATGTCCAAAAACACAGTATTGTCAAGGTACATATCTAAAATACTATGGTACTTGCCTTAAAAAACATAGTTTTACAGTTTTACCACTGTATATCTCCAGAAAACATGGTATTACCATGGTAATTGTCTTAAAAACTGTTTTACCATCGTATGTCTCCAAAAAAACATATTACTACTATTATACGAATGACTATGGTCCATTCTCAAAAAACAAAACAACATATTGCCATATAAAATGTTCATGGTAATTGGAAAAACCAAAGTACATAACACTACGGTATTATCATGGTAATTGTCTAAAAAACATGGTATTACCATGGCATCATGTCTAAAGCACATTGTATTATGTCTAAAAACATGATATGCCAAAAAATATGGTGTTACTATGGTACACATCTATACATATACATATATCTACTATATATCTATCGATTTTTACCATGGAACTTGTCTAAAAAACCGTTTCACCATCATACATCTCCAAAAACATGGTATTACCATGGTACACATTGACCCTCCCCCCAAAAAAAAACAAAAACAAAAACAAAACATGGTATTTACCATGGTACATGCCAAAAAACACAGTACTATCAAAGTAAATATCTAAAACAATACGGTATTACCATGATCCGTTTTCAAAACAAAAACAAAAACAAAACATGGTATTACCATGGTACATGCCAAAAGCCCTCAGTATATTACCACGTATAAATATATATATATATATTATTACAGTAAGTAAGAACAACATGATTATCATGGTAAATGTCACAAAAACATGGTATTAGCACAGTATCATGCCCACATGGTATTACCATAGTACTTTGTGTAAAAGCACTTACCAAAAAAGTATAACATACTACCATGGTATTATACCAAACATACTACCATGGTATTCTTGGAGTAGCATGCAAACAGATGAATTTTAGTATGTTTGAAATGACCATAGTATCTGTATTTAGTGAAGATGACCTCAGTATGTACTATAGTATGTGTAATATAACACTACTCTGCATGAGCGCACACGTACCTTCCTGTGGCCGCTCTCTCCAGGAGGGCTTTCAGGCAGCATCATCTTCATGTACTCCTCTTTAGACATGTTGGGCTTCAGCTTGTCCCGTCCTCTGTCCTGCAGCCCACAGGACGGCTCTGCGGCGTACAGCTGCCTGCGGGACACAGAGCCGCAGACGGGTTAGAGAGTTCATCACAATCAAGAGAGTTGATGAGCGTTGTCCAGATATTTTAGTCAAAGGAGAGGTAATAAATATTGTTGAGCATTTTAAACATTTGGGTATGATTATGGATTCTAATTTAAATTTAAAAAATCATATTAAAAAGATCTCTAAAAGTGCTAGAGCGAGCTTGATGATCTTCAGGAATATTATGCACCTATTACCTGTGGCTGCTGCTAAACTCTTTATGCATACAATGACTCTCTCTCTTTTATCTTATTGTGCTACAAGTTGGTCCCACACAAGTATAACTACGTTAAAACCATTATATACTATTTATAAACAAGCTGTGAAAACTTTAGCAAAAAATATTGCAATATTATTAAAAATTATTAATTATTGACGTTTGACAATTTTTTTGCTGATGTGTGTTTGATGTATAAACTACTTCATGATCTTGCACCACCAACTCTTAAACAAGGTGTGACTTTCTGTTAGGACAATATTAGGCAGACTAGGTCATCAGTTAGAGGTGATTGTTCGACTAAATATAAGAAAACTGTTTTTGGACAATCAGCTTTTTCAGTTAGAGCAGCAGAAAGATGGAAATTAAAACCGGTTTATATTAGAGAGTGTACAACATTTAGTATTTTTAAAACTACACTTAAAGTATGGCTTAAGGAAAATCAAATATGTGATCATTGACCTGACTTTTTAATTTTATGGAGTGTGATGTGATATTGTGTGTGTTGTATGTATTGTATTGTTTGTGACTGAATATTGTAATTTTGTAACAACATCCTGCCCAGGGACTGCAGATGCAAATTAGCTTTATAGCTAACACTTCTGTTGTGCATTGTCCCTGTTAAATAAATGAAATAAACTAAACTTAAAAAAAAAATGCAGTTAAGGAGTGAGGGGAGAGCAGGGTCGAACACTGAGGATGGAGGCTCTGGTTCAGCATGACGCAGGACAGAAGAGGTGTAGACGCTGCAGGTCAGTGTAAAGTCATGATAATCACAGTATCACACTGAACACTACATTACGAGCTAATGCTGACGATTCTCACGAGCGTTTGTCACACATCCTTTCAGCGGGTGCAGAGGAGGAAGGGGAGAGATGGTGACGGGGCCATGTGACCCTTGATGCTGCTGTGTGCAGCTCACACAGTGTTTGTGTGTTTGTGTGTGTGTGTGACTCACTTGGCAGCGTGCTATATAGCTGACAGACAGCATGCACACACAAATACACACACAGGCTAAAACTAAACCTGAACTACAGACACATATTAAATACAAGTTAAACTCTGTCGACAGTATCTGGAGTAAGACATTGATCTAGCAATCCCCAGCAATCTGCAGAAAATTAAATCATGCCTTGTCCTGGAGCATGTGGTGAATGAAGAAGCTTTAAAAAAATAAACAAAACAAGCCATTACAAATAAAAAGCAAATACTAATAAATTATACAGATCTATATAGAACGGTGTTATACCAAAGTACAAGAACAGTACAATACTAGGAGATCAAATAAAAATCATGAAATAAACAAAAGTATATGAATTTTTTTAAATAAACAGTAAATGAAACAAGTTAAACTTAAATTCAATAAGTAAATAACGATAAAATTAATATGATAATTTTCTATGTATATTTTTATGTGTCTGTGTGTGTGTGTATATATATATATATATATATATAAATGAAATTAAATATGCAAATAATAATGAAATCTAATAATGAAAAGCAAATAATTACAAATAATTACAAAAGTAATGTAAATAGTATAATACATACCAAAAAAAATAAATAAAAAATAAACAGAAGAGTAGCAATAACTTTTTTTTAAATAAATAAATTAAATATCACTTAAATGCAATAAGTAAATAATAACAATACAATACATTTTTTGTATTAATATTTACAATTTTTGTATATAAAACTGGAAGAAAACCTGAAATGTACTAGTATATATTATGGTTAAACCTGCTGTATTCAACACTCTATTACAGACCCAGAATCATGCTCAGCCTCAGGCTGACAGACATCCACAGGGAAAACAATGACAGACATTTCCATACACAGCTTCATTTCTTCTAGAATGTCCTTGTAAATAATAGACGAAATGTAAAGGTTACCAATATACAAGCTGCAGACAAGTTAAAAAATACTCAGCGAGTGTGTAAATACTGAAGGTGAGTTAATTAATATTGTGAGAAGGTCACATTTAGATGTGTGCTGTCTTTTATGTTTTTAGTCTTGGATAAAAAATAACAACTGAACTGAGCAATGCAGCAAAAATCCAAACAAGTGCAATGGTGAAGAGAATGTATTAAAACTCACTCAAAGCCCGCAGGTGATGGACAATGTCATCACAGCTGTCTGGCACTAGCGCCGCGGATTTAACACACTTAGTGACCCATTGGCCTTTACTGGTATATGTGTCTATGAGCAACTGTGTCTGAGTCTGACAGAAACTGTCGAGGTGAGCGAGGAGAGGAGGGTCGGCGCGGCACAGCAGGGAGAATTTCAACTCCAGACATTTACACTCAGTGAGGAGAACAGAAAGGTCAGGGGTCAAAGGGGAAAGTTCAATAACGGCGTGAGCACAAGCATACACAGTGGGGGTGTGCATATGTACCTGGACCGCTCGGCTAGAGCCTTCAGAAGGAAAGACAACAAGCTCTCGGCTCCACTGAGCAAAAGAAGCCGAGGAAAGTAGAAGAAACAGAGAAGAAAGTTAGCAGCTGCAGTTTACAGTGTCAAGCCGCACTGCAAACGGGGAAAAAAGCTTCATTAGCAGGCACAATAAATGCGAGCGATATTGGATGATTTGTCTAGAGGCTTTGTTACGTAACGTGAAATAAAGGCTGAGGTGGAATAAACAAGGAAAGGAGGTGCTAACTGCATTACACGGCTTCTTTCATAACAGCTGGGGGAAAGCAGCTCAGCCGCACCATCAATCTAAGAAGTTTAACTGGAAACTTTCACTGAACAAAAGACATTAGTGAAGAGATGGAACTGAGAGAGTTTTATTCAGAGCACAATTACACACTTGCTGTCGAAATGTGGACAAAACAGAGGCATCTACTGCTGTCAAATAAGTCAAATTATAATAATTACAGACGAACCCAAACTGAGTTTATTGCATTTTAGATCAAAAACATTATTTACTGAACTGAGGCAGCAAATGAAATGTGTCATTTGAATTTGAATGTAAGGAAGTATAATTAAAATAAGCTGATATTCAAATTCATATAACTGCAATTTGTAACTAAACTGAAATTTGATTAAATGAATATAGAACAACAGATATAACAATACGACAGACAGACAGATAGACACATAGACAGATGGATAGATAGATAGATAGATAGATAGATAGTAGGGCTGCACGATTATGACAAAAATCATAATTGTCGATTTTTCCCTTGAAATGTAATTGCGATTATTAATTACGACTATCACTATTTACATTGAATGATGTTTATACCATTGTTTGATGCATGCGCATGCTGTATTTTATATGAAAATAAACAAGCTGAAAACACTCTAACTGAAAAACTTTTAGTGCTTTTCTATAGTATTAAGCCTCAAATGTCAACTATACATCAGATTGGTTTATTCTTTAAATTATAAAAAAAGTAAAAATATGAATGGTATTATAATGTTATACTAAAACTAAAATTAAAACAATGGAAAAACCCTTAAGATAAAATGTAGAAAGAAAAAACGCATCTTAAGCGTGCAGAATAACATAAGTGGACTTTGAACGATTAATTGCCGCTTTGAACGATTACGTAATTGTGGCATCCATAATTGTAATTGCGATTAGAAATTTGATTAATTGTGCAGCCCTAATAGATAGATAGATAGATAGATAGAAAGATAGATAGATAGATAGATAGATAGACACAGAACAATAGAACGTAAGATAGATAGATGGATTACCTAAATGCATCCAACATGAATGAATACCAGTCTTTTTCTCATTGACATCATCATGATCTAGAAATAAAAAGATCTAAAAAGATCTACACCATGACTCTCTAGAAGCAGAGCTAGAATATTAAAGGAAAAGCAGAGTTGGCTCAATCGCTTCCCCTCCAGGATCCGTTCAGAGTCCAGTGGCCAACACCGATCTTCTGTGTGGAACAGTACAGTCCACAGGGATCGAACATCAGCATACAGATCAATAATGAGAAGAGACACATGCCAAGTATATTACGTCTGCACGTTTACAGAGCTGATTTCGCACAGAACTCACTTCGATCAAGCCCTGTTAATCTACTGATGGTTCTTTCCAGGCCTTGGTGATACTCTGATCGATAGAGGAAAGATTCACTTTGATCTGTAATCTATTGCAGACGGTTTTTCGTACTTGAAAACTGGAATTGCCTGATGATTGTGCCAGCGGAGAGATTAATTGGATAAAAAGAAGTGAGAGACCTTCGCCGCTGGCTAAATTCAGCCTCGGAATAGATTGGTCTCTCCTGGCCTTTTAAACCAGACACTTAATGAGTCACACTGGCACAAGCTTGGAGGGCAAGATTAAATTGAATCAAATCTAAGGCCCAACCTAATTGTTCGCATTAGGAAATTACAATACAACTCTTTTTAGACATAGTTTTACTTGAGTGCTTTACACGCTCTATAGAGATTTCGAGGTCCTGAGTATGTGGTAATGGCAAATGGTAAATTAAATTAAATAACAAATAACTCTCAAATGAAGCGTCTTAATGTTGCTTTTAGTGGCCCAAACAATTAACTCCCGAATAAACCAATCATACCAGCAGATGCATCCCATTCCACACATCCACACACTCACCCACACTCGGACTGAATCGGGGGCTCGTCCGGGATCGGTTTGTCATCGGACCTCCTACGGCTTTGTGTGTGCGCATCAGTGCTGGGCCCTGGCTCCTGGCTACTGTGGGGGACTGCCTGGGTTCTGGAAGGTTCTGGAGAGGACATGTGCTTGAAGCTGTGGGGTAAGGGGCTGCCGGAGTGGTGGGAGCCACTGGCCAGCGCACATGGGATAGAGGAACGTGAGACCCAACCATCATAACAACATGAAAATGACTTTCTGTACTGTTTAATTTAAGCACCGGTGGTTAGGTAAAGAGGGGAAATACTTTACAAATGTGCCCAGTGGCATTTTTAGGGAGTTTTCACACCTGGTTCATTTCAGGGTCAGAACTGAACGAGTTAACATAAACAGGAGAGGACCGATGAGAGTGCAGTAGAGCTGCACGATTAATCGTTAAAAGATTGCGATCTCGATTCAAACACCCACGCGATCTTATTTCCAAATGACAACGATTCGTCTGTGTCTATTAAACCTTTGACAAAGTCATACCGGAACATTCAAATCACAGAGAGAGCCGTTATGTTTAGCTATGAAACAGCTTCACAGTCTTTTCAACCACACAGTATTATTTCCGTCTTACAATCATTCATATTATCACAGAAGTACTGGGATAAAAGTTTATAGTTCGGATGTCTATGGTAGCGATCAAAATGGAGCAAATCTATTTTTGAAAGTAATTTTCTTTTCAAAATGGCACTTCAAATAACATTTGCTGATTTCAACGTTGATTACATTGTTTTGCCACTAGGAGATAACAAATGACTGTTAAAAAATGTATGTCATTGACTCATTCATTCAAGAGATTTGTTCAAAAACGCTGATTCATTCAGTAATAGAAAAAAATTAGTAATTGAATCATTCATTGAAACCTTTTTTTTTTTTTATTCAAATTAGTTAAAAAAAAATTTAATAGAATGAGGCAATTAATATTTTGTCACAGCCTCTAGTAAATTACGTTATTTTGCTTATTTCAGAATTGTGGAAGAATCGTGATCTCTATTTGAAACAGAAAAATCGTGATTTTCAATTTATCCAGAATCGTGCAGCTCGAATCATTCATTGAAACCTTTTTTTTTTTTTATTCAAATTAGTTAAAAAAAAATTTAATAGAATGAGGCAATTAATATTTTGTCACAGCCTCTAGTAAATTACGTTATTTTGCTTAGTTCAGAATTGTGGAAGAATCGTGATCTCTATTTGAAACAGAAAAATCGTGATTTTCAATTTATCCAGAATCGTGCAGCTCTAGAATGCAGTTTTACTCACACGTGACTTGCATAAACACATTTTGGTATTTCTTACTGTAAAAGCAAGCCGAACCAAGAAGAAAATACAACATTGTAACAATGTAAGTCCTTGTTTTGGAGCAAAGCATATGATCTACAGGTCTGAAAACACCTTTAAAGTGCCCCTATTATGCCATTTTGAATATTCCCTTTCATGCAATGTGTAACGTAGCTATATGTGAATGTAAACAATCTGCAAAGTTATAAAGCCGAAAGTGCACAATAAATAAAGTTGTTGTCTCCCAAAAGAGAGAATAGACTCTGAATCGAGTCATCAGTAATTCGAATCCCACTTCCGCGATGGGGTAACACATTTGCATAATGCCCGCCTATGTTCTACATTGGCCGGCTGCGAACAACTTGATCCACCCTCAAACACTGTAGCTTGTTCGTGTGGTTAACATCATGTTGAGAAGACGCTGTGAAAGTAAATTTGTTTTATTTTCACTTCCGAAAGAATCAGTGGTTAAAATTTTACCGTAAAAGTTACCGTCATTTTACTGACGACTGCTTCTCTTGGGGAGTTCAACTTCAATGCGTGATTTACAAAACGCTTGCTCTTGAAAGATGGCTCATCACCCAGTTTATTTGGACCAGCTGGCTCCACTCAATCACAAACTGTAAGTATGATAAATAACAGATGTTTATATTTTCTATCGAGCGTTCAAAATACGGAACTATGGCAATGGGTGTATCGTTTCCGACATGCGCTGTATGCAGTAGACCAATCACAACAGATTGGGCCATCTGACCAATCAGAGCAGAGTAGGCTCACGGAAAGGAGGGGTTTAGAGAGAACGGCTTCGAACGAACAGTTTGAGAATCATTGGAAAATGTGGTGATATTAAATGCATATTTTGAGAAAGTGAAACCGTTTTTTGACCTTGCATGCATTTAAAGCTATTGTAGGAGACTCCAAAACAATATTAGGAACCTTAAAATACGGAACTATGGCAATGGGTGTATCGTTTCCGACATGCGCTGTATGCAGTAGACCAATCACAACAGATTGGGCCATCTGACCAATCAGAGCAGAGTAGGCTCACGGAAAGGAGGGGTTTAGAGAGAACGGCTTCGAACGAACAGTTTGAGAATCATTGGAAAATGTGGTGATATTAAATGCATATTTTGAGAAAGTGAAACCGTTTTTTGACCTTGCATGCATTTAAAGCTATTGTAGGAGACTCCAAAACAATATTAGGAACCTTAAAAATTGCACAATAGGGGCACTTTAAAGTAACTAGATCAATAGCGATACAATGCAGCCGGGTCCTATGAATGATCCCTTGGGCTTCCGTTTAGGAAACAGTGGGTGAATTCTGCATTGACAGCGCTCTGTTCGGGCATCTTTTGAAATGTATTCACAAGACAAACATTCACTCAAAAACACACATCAGAACTGACAACATGCCTATGAGCAGGACCCTACCTTTCTACAACAGCACGACAGCTGCCATTCTCTCCGGTCTATCTCAAAGAGACTTCTTACCATTTTTCTGCCTTTTATGCAACAGTCTATGCTTACAAGTGTTTAGTTTACATAAGAAGCTCTAATAATACTCCTTAAAGTTGTGTACTTTTGAAACCTCTCTTATCCATGCAGTTGAAGACAGCTGGTTCTGAAGAACATAAGAACACTCTGAACATAATAGAAGGTAATTTGACAATTTTGCTAATGATTTTCCTGAATTGCTCTGCAGTGCAAAACAAAGCAGTTTTACTGTATGGATGGAAAATAACCCTATATGTCTACATTTAAGTGCAATACACAAAACCATCTATTTTTTCCCTTCAAAAACATTTTTTTATTATTCTATGTTATCTCAATTACACAAATCCCACAATTATTCTACATTGCAAATAATGACTTCAATGCAAATAATGACTTCAATGCAAATTAAGACAATGTAACTTTCTTTTCCATGATGTAAAAAAGGGATAGGATCTGCTACTTGGAAACAAGCTTAACTGACCTGGAATCACTGGAATTTTTTTTCAGCTGTGCGTTTGGGGTCAGTAAGATTTTTTTTGTTAAATAAATTAATACTTTTATTCAGAAAGGACGCATTAAACTGATCGAAAATGACAAAGACATTTAAAATAGGAAGATTTCTATTTCAAATAAATGCTGTTCTTTTGATTTTTCTATTCATCAAGCAATCCTGAAAAATCCACAAAAATCTGTAGCAGCACAACTGTTTTAAACACTGATAATAATCAGAAATGTTTCTTGAGCAGCAAATCATCATATTAGAATGATTTCTGAAGGATCATGTGACACTGAAGACTGGAGTAATGATGCTGAAAATTCAGCTTTGATCACAGCAATAAATTAAATTTTAACATTCAGTATATTCACATAGAAAACAGTTTTTGGAACTGTAATAATATTGTACAATATTAATGTTTTTACTGTATTTTTGATCAAATAAATGTAGCCTAAATTAGCAATAGAGTCTTCCTTCAAAAAAGATCTGAACGACCCCAAATGTCTGAACTGGTCAAGCTTTTAGCATCTTCAAAATGTGGACACAAGTCAATGTTAGTAATTTAGATGTAAAATGCCTGCAGGCCTGTTACTAAAAAGCAGCATTCCTCTCTCTCCAAGTGAATACACACAGCTGGATATGTAACATGTCAAAATAGGCAAAATACTTAAACACTTAAACAGCTGCACCCAATTAATTGTGCGTTTGTTTGTGTGTAACTGGAAGAATATGCACATATTTATAAACAATAACTGATGGCAGAGTGGGAAGTGCAGGTATTCTGCTGTTAGCATTCCACAGTGGAAATCCAGCCAGCAGGCTAATCAATAATGTTGGCAAAAACATTATCTGAACATAATCAACCAGGAAATGCTCGATCCATTTAACCTCAAGATACAAATCTGACCTATTTATATTCTCATAAGCATCAGCTCTCTCTCTTTTACTCACCTAGAATGAGATGAGTTCTCGCTCAGGTCTCCCATACTCCCATCCACGGGCGCATGTCCGGCGGCCAGAGCCGCGGCGTAGCTCTGGGGAAGGTACAACCTGCCGTGGTCCTCCTCCGTGGACCCTTCTTCTGTCAGCTCCGGTGTCCACGGGTGTCCCGGATCAGATGCCCCGGGGCCCTGGAGCATGACGCGGGAAACAGACGCACCGGCGACCCCCGGGGTCATGCTACAGGGCGCGGTGTCAATGCCGCTGTCTGTGGAGGCTCCTTTAATGTAGGTGAGACCCAGCATCTCTGGATCCATCAGGTCCCCGGAGCCAAAGTGCTTCTCATCACTGTTACTACTGGAGCCGTTGCTGGACAGAGTGTTACTGCTGGAGTGGCTGGAGTTCTTATCGCCGCCCTGCTGGAGGACGACAGAAAAACATATCAAGGAAACATTAATAATAGGGCCCTCTTTGGCAAGACATTTACTAAAGCCTGGCTCACACTACAGGAGTTTTAAAATCCTAACCAATTATGAAATCTGGTTGCAGCACACACATAAGGAGAATCTTTGCAGACTATCTTCCCTCGAATGCACACACTACAAGATTTGCAGCAGCAGCTGTTTTGTGGACGCGCATTGGCTATTGTGAAAGTACTGACGTAGTCATATATCAAACATGTTTGATATGATGGGGACGGCCCCCGATTTGTGTGCGAGCACATTGGGAGTTGCAAGATTCGATCTGTGAACGCCTCACATTACCAGATAATCAGTGCCGAACATCCCAATAGGGTCTGGCTGCAGACATGCACTTGCATTTTCAGACTTGCACTCTCAGACACCTGCACTTCCGCAAGTGATGTCACTTGCAGTCTTTTTTTATTTTATTTAAAGCTGCAGTCCGTAACTTTTTTGGGTTAAAAATTATCCGAAAGAGATTAGACTGAACAGAAATTGAAATCTACACGCTAAAACACACTATACTCATAGGCACGCAATGCTGATGTTGTTAACATGAATAATTTGAGAATAAAGTATAACAATGGTAGCACTTTTCGCTATCGAATTATGCTATCTGTTTTAATGGGAGGAAGCAAAATCTGACAGGGTAGCACAAATCGTCAGAACACCGGCGCACAACCCGAAGATAATTTCGCAAACAGCTGCAATTGCAGGTTTTCTAACAGAGATGGCGACAAAGAACCAAAACTTACGGACTGCAGCTTTAATTTATTAATTATTATTTTTTAAATTTAATCTATCAACGTTTTACACAAGTAGCCAGGTGGTGAAGACTAGAAAAAAGAAACTAAATCACAAAGTCACTTGCACTCTCTGCTACCTGCGACATCACTTGCAATCGACACGAATCGTGTGTGTTGCCAATGGAGACAAGACGCTGTGGTGGTTAAACGATTACAACTAATTTAGTACTATAACATACAGGGTCCTGCAAGTCATCTGTAGGAGAAAAAGACAAGACCCGCAAATCCGTGGCCATAGAACAGCAGAATATGAACGCAATGCGCAAAGTCTCTCATTAAGCGTTTTTAAACCTCCCTTAGAAAACCAGTAGATAAACACTTAATATGGCTTAATGTATTAAGATAGTCCTATTGTGCTAAGTGATGTCAGTTGCGGAAGTGCAGGTGTCTGAGAGTGCAAGTCTGAAAATGCAAGTGCATGTCTGCAGCCAGACCCTTCTCTGAACATTGGGACCGATCGAGGTGATCGGCAAGATTTTTGCTCCGATTCTCGGAAGGGGGAAATCGGGGCTAAATCGGGCTAAAAATCCTGTAGTGTGAGCCAGGCTTTAGGCATGCTTGCTATCTTTTTAAGCAACAACCTAGCAACCATCTAACAAGAACTAGTTATATATAATAAAAATATATGAAATCTATAAATATGAAAAAATATATAAAAACATATAGAAAATATAATAAACAAACAAATAAATAAATCTATCTGCTAGGAGGACGAAAGAAAGGTAAACATATCAAAGAAACATTAATAACAGGGACATTTTTGGCAACACATTTGCTATGGCATGTTTATATTTAAAAATGAAAAGGAATACAAATTAATTAATCTATTAAAAAAGTAATAATTCTACAGCAACAGCACTGCTTTATTTTTGGGTGGACAAGAAACACTATTATTTTCTTAAAAAAAAACTGTAACGAATCAGCTCATGGGGAAATATGAATAATTAATCATAACTAGTTATAATTAATTATAAATATCTAATATAAATACATTTAAAAAACAAATAAATAAATAAATACATACAAAATACAAATAAATACAAATAATTAAAAATAAATTAACATAAAAAAACAATAATACTCTAGCAACTGGCAACTATATGAAGAGTTTGGTTCCAAAACGCGATAAACGGCATTAAAAAAAAAAAAAAGAGTTTCCGCCAAAATCAGTATTGTTTTTTATTCAAATAAATCAATTTTAAATTTTACGCAAAATGCGATATCCGCCATTTTATTCTGTCATGTTTTCTCCCTTTTTTTCCAAACTGCGACAAACGCCAGTCTCCCTTATGCTTTGAATACACATATATATATACATACACACATATATATACACACACACACACACATATATATATATATATATATATATAATACTAACAAAATTAAAATAAATCTAATAAAATATACATAAAATATATAAAGAAAAATACAAATAATAAATATATACATATGAGATAAAACTTACACTGCCAGCATAAGTACCAAAGCTCAATATTTCAAAACACATCCACTAACCGTTTAGATGTGGGTTTAAATACTATACAAAGGAAACAAAAAAGTAGCTCATATTGCAACACAAAATACATATCATCCCATTGTCTACGTGACATTTTGTGCATGCTTGCATATTTTATGATCTATAATTCTAATTAGCAGATGGAAAACAGGCCGTATCTGCTGTCATATTCTTTGTCATGTGATGCCTTCTTTCGTCCAAACTAATATCATGGCAATTTAAATGTGCCGCTGCACACTGCAAAGACCTGCAAAACTAATTACTGTGAGCTGATGCATAATTCTATGACTGGTAATGTATGCAAATATGAGCTGTATTCATTAATTAGTGCGCAGACAATAGGCGTAATAAATCAAGAGAGCAGAGCCATGTACATCTCCCAGCAGAGACGGACATCAGCATTTTACACAATGCAACAGACATTAGAGACCATTCAGAGTTGAAAAGGTTTGTAAGTTATTGATATAGATGGTAGAAGGCAAACACACAATAACAAACATAATTAAGAGACTGATCCTGACATTAAACCTGCTTTTATACAGACTGCCATCAAATGATCCAATAACACACTCATTAATGCAGCTGCAAAACTCACTCCACTTAACGTGGATAATGAGACCGTCCTTTAATCTTTCATGGTTTTCCGTATTTGTTTAAAAGGCTGTACAGATAAAAACCACCTATAGCTCTTCATTACAGACATACAAATCATATTCTGTAGATTAAACATTCTCAGGATCTTAAAGCGTTCAGAGCAACTGAGAAAATCATTAGAGAATAGGGCTGGGTTTTGACACAAATTTCACGATTCGATTCGATTCTCATTCACAAGCTTGTGATTCGATTCGATTACCAATTCGATTCGATTCAATATCGATTATTTTGGATATATATCAGGTACAGTACTTGCCAAATTAAAATTTCTCAACTAATGCTGTAAAATATAGGCTACATGAGAGTCAGTTGGAACAACATTACTATAATATTGAAGTTTTTACAATAATAAAGTTGCAGTTCATATTAATATTTCTACTTCAATTCGTTTTTTTGAAATATAAACATTTAAATGGTGGCTGTCATAAAAACTTGATGGATTTATTCAAACATAAATTAAACATTGAAGAACAGTAAAAATCATTAAACAGCGCCAAAATGGCATTTATTGTTTGAATACTGCAATACAATGGACAGAATTTGAAATCTGAGACTTTGTTTTTATATGAAAAGTACCAATGCACAATGCTTATTGCTATGTATTGGATGGGAAGTGCCCTTTAAATGTTCCGTCCATTAACTGAAAACAGGCTAGACTAATCGATTCTTGGGATTTAGGAATCGATATCGTTCCGTAAAAATGAGAATCGACTAATATCGAGATATCTATATTTTTTACCCAGCCCTATTAGAGAACATAGCAATGAACTTAAGTTAATTTCAACAGCATGATTTTCAGTAAAATGTGGTAAAAAACTGATTGGATATGACACTTAACGTGGGCTGGAATGAATTAAGACAATATCTGCTGATTTCTTTAATGGAAATTGTTCAATTACGAAGTAACGTGATTAAAAACTGCAGTGTTTGCACATGCTCTTCACAGTCACTGAAAGAGAAAAGCCTCATTTAAAAGAAGTGATAACATTAGCGTAAGTGAAACAAAGTAATTAACATTAATTTACCTTGGAGCAAATGAAGATGATCTTACTAATAATATATGTTTTCAGTCGGGAACGAGGATGACACGTTGTTTAATTGCAAAAAGGGGGAAAAAAAGTCTAACGTGAACTGACAACCTTTTACAGCATATTTGGATAATTCCTATAAAATTATCCTCCATAAACTGAAATGAAAAAAGAAAATTCTTGCTTGGCAGTCTACAACAGATTCTAAGTCGTGATTGGTCAGTAATATTTTTAGGTGGGGCTCAGTGAAGGAAGTAAATGCAAATGCAAGCGCAAAGACGGCAACAAAATTATGATGCTTTATTTTTTTATATCATTCATTACTGATAAAATATAGAATACATTTTTATAAATCATTAAAAATAATAAAATATATTTTTATTTTATATATTTATTTCATTACAGTCATTCATTCCATACTGAAACGTATAGATATTTTACTGAATATTTTTCTGCACTAGATTTTTTATTTTTTTTTGCTTATTAGAGCATCTCTGTTAACTAAAGCCAGACTCATTAGTGGAGATTCTACAAATGTAAATTTCACTTCAGTCACTTACAGTATGAAGATCCTTTGAGAAATGACGCTCACTAGGTTTGGAAGAGAGCTTCTATCTACACTATATCTACAGTACAGGAGCCTGTTGTTTCTGCGCTAAATGACTGTAATTCACTTTCAGCTGGATGCCGGTGGTCAGATGCTATTACAGGAACAGGCAGTGTGAGATATTGGGTAAAACTCACATTGAAGGTGAGAGGGAGAGAGACAGACGAATGCGAGCGCGTCCCTGATAACAGCACCAAGGGCAGACTGACCTTATCGGCATTCATTCATCACACTGACGCACATGCACACTGACAGCAGCACTAGCGGCCTCATGTGTGTTTGTCGTATAAAGGCTTTCAGCGAACGCAGCAACACCCTAAAGACGAGTCGGAGAACTTTCCCAAGCAGAGGAAGCCCATGTTTCCACTTATGCAACGTGATTATATGCTTCATATGTGAAGTGTAAATCCGGCTCACCACATTAAAACACATTCTGACACTGTAGGGAATCCCCATATTATGAATTAGTCTGGGATTTATAAACATACAGTTGCATATATAAACAAATGCCTCCTGCTGGCCAGCCACTAACCAACTGAATTATAAATAAAGCACATGGTTTATTTTGTCAGCGCTCTTCTGTCCTTTAAATGAACCGGACCTCATAAGCTCCTATACGGCTGTGTGTAGGACAAGCAAGATTTAGCCAAATAGGACATGCTTCTGAATCCACATCCTTGGTCCAGAATGACTATCAAACAATACGATTTTAAGGGTTTGAATTGTGGCTTTAATAAGATTCTCATCAATCTATAATTTCATATTGATTTTTGGCAGTGGTCCGCAACCAATGATTTATACAATACAAAAGAAGCATTACAATTTTTAGGTGAATTAACCCCATCCACAACTGTTTTTTTTCTTTCATCAGCCTTGAAAAACCTGGATATATGAGGCAGCCTAATTTAAAAAACAAAGCGTCTATTTGTGCCTGTAATGACACATACATGTGGAATTATGTCAAAATGCATGTCTCTGCAAGTATCCATGTAAACAGAGTTGCTTAGATGAAGGTAAACAATTGAGAAAGAAAATGGACGTGTAACAGTGGTTCACAGCAGTTTAATGTTCCTGCTTTCTGTGTCATGAATGTTAATAAAACAAAACTTTTGTAGCTTTAACAGATTTATTAGATTTAGTTTAGGCTATACAGTGAAGACTATGCAGTGTTATTTTACATTTGATTATTCAATTTCTGTACCTGAATACTGTTAGACTTACTTGAAAAATATAAAGCACTGTTTATTTCATTTGTATCTTTGTTCTATTATATTTATCTATGCTTGTAATTTGTTGATTTACTCACCTACAAAATCACCCCAATCATTGATTATTTTTCATCTGGTGATTTTTTTTTTTTTTCATATCGCAATATATATAGCAGAAAAACAAAATATCGCAATGTGAGTTTTTTCCAATATCGTGCAGCCCTAATTTCTAGTACTGGAAAAGTTATGAATGCTCATTTTTGTATTTATGCCAATAATTATGATAATATTTTCGAATTATAATAATATTTTATCATCAGGTACAAATTCTGAGCAATGTCATTTTAGTACACTTTAGTACACTGTTATTATATTCAGTGTTGGGTAAGTTACTCTAAAAAAGTAATTAATTACTAGTTACTAATTACATCTTCAACGGTGTAATATCATTTCGCTTTTAGTTAAAGTTTTAGCAATTTTTGTTGTTTATCATTATATTTATAATTTTATTAGTTTTTTTTATTTAATATGTCTATAAAGTTCTTATCAACCTATCATTTCATAATAATAATAATAAACTTTATTTTATATAGCGCCTTTAAAAGTAGCATAAGCGCTTTACATACATATGAAAATTATAAAGTTAAAAGATACACACAAAAAGTACAGACAGTAAAAAAAAAAACTAACCAAAAAATACAAAGCCAGTATAATAAAAGACAAAAAACATAATGATTTTATGGCAGATTTCCTCAACCAATGATTTATAATAATAAAATACAAGAATTAAAATAAACTAAAAGAGCTAAAAATAAAAATACTTTTTGTGAATTAACCCTCTTAACAAATGACTTTTTTTTCCTTGGTCTTGGAAAACATGAGGCAGCCTAATAAAAATGAAAAAAGACGATTTCTAGTACTGGAAAAGTCATGTAAATTAATAAAATCTTAAAACGGCATGGGCATTTTTTATAAAGAGTATAATTATGATAATGTTTTCTAATTATTTTAAGATTTGAATATTTAGTTTTTATTTTTGTATTTCCAGATTTTCATTTTCATTTTACTTAATTTTAGCAATTTTGCTGTCTTTGTCATTTTTTATTGGCTATTTTTTATTAGCTAGTTTTTATTGCTTTTTTATTTCAGTTTTAGTTTGAATTATTTTAGTACTGCAAGTTAAACTAAATGAAAAATTTGAAGTATTGCCTTGGCAACTAGTTGAAATAAAAAATAAAAAAAAATATTTTTTTGTTTTGTTTTAATATTTTATTTTACTTTATTTTACTTTTATTTTATTTCATTTATTGTTTCGGTTAAAGTTTTAGTTAACTATAATAAGAAATTCTGAGTAAAATATTATTTAAAAATCCTTACCCAAAATTGAAATGTCCAATATTTAATTTGAAATATAATAATTTTGTTACCTATTTTAATCTATAGATACTCCTGCTTTCTATAAAAAAAAAATTACAGCAGATGTGCCAGAGGAAACTTGAGGGCCACTGGAGGGCCTTGGAGTTAAAAAGCTTGTAAATCACTGTTTTAAAGGCATTTAATGGTTGGGCTTATGTATGGTTCTTGGCATCACTTCTACTCCACAGGAGTGTTAAATGTAGGAATAGTCTTACCCGCGTCAACTTGTTTGGTGCATCCTTGCCTCTTTCCTTCAAGGAATTGAGGATCTTGGTGGAAGGGACGTGCCACTTCGCCTCTGTGAAGAAACAGACTGAAGGATAAACATGGAGATTCCCAGAACATCTGACTGTCTAACATGGTTTCTAGCTGCTCCAAACTGGTCTGTAGATGGTGCAAACTGGTCTAGATGACTAGTCTTGAGGCTGGTAGACTTCCTTAGACTACTAATACTACTAATCTACTAATCACCTTCAATATTCTACAAACCAGACTGACTACAATAACTAGGGCTGCATGAAAAAAAAATACAGTAACTGAGATTTTTCTGATAAAAATTGTATTTGTAATTTAAAATGCAAAAAAAAAAAAAAAAAAAAA